CACGGGGGCCGCCGGGCCCCAGCGACCACCGAGTGACCACAGTGACCACTGAGTGACCACAGTGACCACTGAGTGACCACAGTGACCATAGTGACCACTGAGTGACCACAGTGACCACTGAGTGACCACAGTGACCACAGTGACCACAGTGACCAGGATGGGGAGGGGGTCTCATTCCAAGTTCCTCGGGGGTCCCGGGGGTCTCACTTGCGGTTTCCTGCAGTGACCACAGTGACCAGGTGACCACAGTGACCACAATGACCACAGTGACCAGGATGGGGAGGGGGTCTCTGAGCTCCCCAGGACTCCCGGGGGTCTCACTCCAAGTTTCCCACAGTGACCAGGTGACCACAGTGACCACAGTGACCACAGTGACCACAGTGACCACGATGGGGAGGGGGTCTCACTCTGAGTTCCCCGGGGGTCCTGGGGGTCTCACTCTGAGTTTCCTGCAGTGACCACAGTGACCACAGTGACCAGGATGGGGAGGGGGTCTCTGAGCTCCCCAGGACTCCCGGGGGTCTCACTCCAAGTTTCCCACAGTGACCAGGTGACCACAGTGACCACAATGACCACAGTGACCAGGATGGGGAGGGGGTCTCACTCTGAGTTCCCCGGGGGTCCTGGGGGTCTCACTCTGGGTTCCTCTGGACTCCAGAGGGTCTCTGGGTTTCCCGCAGTGACCAGGTGACCACAGTGACCGCAGTGACCACAGTGACCAGAATGGGGAGGGGGTCTCTGAGGTCCCCAGGGCTCTGGGGGTCTCACTCTGGGTTTCCCGGGGGTCTCGCTCGCCGTTCCCGGGGGTCCCTCTGCCGGTTCTCGCGTGTCCCTCTCCATCCGGGGACCCTCCCGGTGACACCGACCACTCCGGTGTCCCCTCCCCGCTCACCGCCATCTCCTCCACAGGTCCCACCAACCACCCCCGAGCCCCCCAGCCGGACCCAGGAGCCCCCCGGGACCCCCAGGCCATGCCGTGGCCACCTCCGTCCACTCTGCCCGACGCCCCCTTCCCCAACCGGGCTCTGGCCGCGCTGGCCGCGCTGGCCGAAGCTCTGCTGGCCCCCGGCTACTGGGCACTGGACCATCTGCTGTCCCTGCGGCCCACCACGGCCCAGCGGGCGAGCCGGCGGCGCCACCGGGCCGGTCACTGCCTGGCCGTGGCCAGCGGGCTGGCGGCGGCGGCGGCGCTGGTTCTGCTGGTTCTGCTGGCGCTGCCGCCGGCGCTGCTGGGCCTGGCGCTGTGGCTCCCGGCTCAGGCCAAACGCCGGTCATTCGTCCAGCAGCGCGCGGCCGGAGCGGCCGCGCCGCGGCCGTGGGACGCGCGGACACCCAGAGGTTTCACCTTCCTGAGCGCCAACGTGTGCCTGATGCCCGACGGCCTGGCCAGGTTCAGCAACCTCGGACACGGCCGGCGCAGAGCGGCGGTCATCGGCCGGACACTCAGCGGCGGTCAGCGGCCGGCGGCCGGAGAGGCCGAGGGAGGTTCTGGGTGTCGCCAGGGGTTGCTGGAGATGGGGCGTGGGAAGGGGGGAGGTTACGGGGGGACGGCGGCTCGGGGGGGACGCGCCGGGGTGGACGCACGGACGGCGGGCGGTCAGTCGGAGGTTGAGGGCAGCGTGGGGGTGTGGCCGGAGGTGGTGGTGGACAGCACAGTGATGGACAGCACAGTGGTGGACAACACAATGGTGGACAACACAATGGTGGACAACACAATGGTGGACAACACGATGATGGACAGCACGATGATGGACAACATGATGATGGACAACACAATACCGATGACCAACCCAATGATGGACAACCCAACAATGACCAACCCAACACCGATGACCAACCCAACAATGACCAACCCAACAATGACCAACCCAACACTGATGACCAACCCAACGATGACCAACCCAACGATGACCAACCCAACGATGACCAACCCAACAATGACCAACCCAACGATGACCAACCCAACGATGACCAACCCAACAATGACCAATCCAACGATGACCAACCCAACGATGACCAATCCAACGATGACCAACCCAACGATGACCAACCCAACACCGATGACCAACCCTCGGCCAAGCGCTGACTCTGCACCCACCCCGGCACCCTCCCCATCTCCGAGGCCGGAGCGGCCGATCCCGCTGCCCGACCCCATGCCGCCGGTGCTGACCGCCCGCGTCCCGCCGGACACCGACTTCCTGTGCCTCCAGGAGGTGTTCGACGCCGCCGCGGCCGCCGCCCTGCGCCGGCAGCTGGGCCGCCGTTTTCCCTACGTGCTGTGGGGGGTGGGCCCGGGGGGGCTGCGCTGCGGCCGGCTGCGGGTGATGGGCAGCGGCCTCCTCCTGGCCAGCCGCTTCCCGCTGACCGCCGCCCGCTTCCACCCCTTCCCCGTGGCCGCCCACGAGGACGCGCTGGCCAACAAGGGGCTGCTGGTGGCCCAGGTGAGGGGACGGCGGGGCGGGGGGCACCGGGGGGGGGGG